TCACTCTCCACCCGCTGCGATACCTCTAAGGTCTGTCCAAAACTCTCCACCTGCTGAGAGTCAATTAGCTCCCTCATCGAAGCCTCAACCGAAGTGACATAACCAGACCTATCTTCCAATGGAGTTTTACCTCCAATCACAGTAGTTGACAACTCTTTAATAGGATGACCCACATATGTCGAAGCCTCAGTCCAGAAACTCTTCTGGAAACCACTGCTCGACCACAAACACTGATCCTCCTCCAGAAAGGCACGGTTCTCCAAATTTGTCACCTCATCTAGTTGCCCCAAGATTTCCTTTCCAACGAAGTGTCTCGAAATGCCGTGAGCTCGGCTCCAACACAGAAATAGGTCCATCTTGTACCTCCCACCAGAATAGAGTACCTTCACCTTTCTGTCTGTCACACACTTCTTCAATCTGTTGGAAACTACTAGGACTTTCTCCAAAGGGGATTTAGTTGCAACCCAAACACGCCTAGAACAGTCACCAACAAAGGAAACCAAACGCCTATTACCTCCCAATGATGCCCCCTTGGAAGGCCCCCAAACATCCACGTGAACTCCTCCAGAACGACCCTTAGCACGGTGAATAGAGGTGCCACACTTCACCTCGGTCTTCTTGCTCACATCAACATGTTCACTGGACTTCGAACTGCAGGTCTTTGCACCCTCTTTCAATCTATGCGAGGAATCAATACTGGAATGGCCAAGCCCCAAATGCCGCAGTCTAGTCGAATCAACAGAAGTTGCCAGCTCTCCACCTGTCACTATACCTCCAGTCAAGTAATACAGGTTATTCCTCCTGACGCCCTTCATCAAAATACGAGAGTCTCTCACAATCTCGAGAACCATGTCCTCAACACGAACCTTCAGACCCTCTCCAACCAAAGCTCCAATCGAGATCAAGTTCTTCCTCAAAGAAGGAACATATCTCACATCGTTTAACTCTCTAACAGTCCCGTCAAACATCTTTATGCGAATTCTTCCTATCCCAAGGATCTGGCATGCACGGTTATCAGCCATGTACACCACACCACTATCCACCAGCTTCTCAAAACTGGAGAACCATTCCCTTCTAGGGCACACATGATAGGTCGCACCACTATCCAACATCCATTCAGATTCCTCCGAATAGCTATCTGTAGGACTGATAGAAAGCGAATAAATAGAAGAGTCAGAATTATTACCATCCGATACGATATTTGCTTCTGATGATGGCTGCTTCCCTTTCCCCTTCTGCTTATTCTTCATCCATTCGTCGAGCTTTGGGCAGTCTTTCTTCCAATGACCAGTCTCCTTGCACCAAGCACACTGATCTTTTCCTACTCTAGACTGTGACTTCCAATTCTTCCGGTTTAGATTCTTCCCTCTTGCGACCAACGCCTCTGCTACCGACTCAGTCGAATTCTCCTTATCCTTCTTCCGAAGCTGATAATTCACCAATGCAGCAGTGACCTCACTATACGAAAGTGATGCCTTCCCATTAATCAGAGTAAGAACGAAGGTCTCATATTCCTCGTCGGGCAAGGAACTCAACAACAGCAACGCCTTGTCCTCATCTTCAATCTTGACATCCACATTCGCCAAATCCGCAAGAAGCTTTGTGTAGTGGTTCATGTGATCTCTAATGGAGGTTCCCTTCTTCAACTGGAAACGATAAAGTCTCCTCTTCAAATGCAAGCGATTTTCCACACTCTTGGTCAAATACTTGCTTTCGAGAATCTCCCAAATCTTCTTCGCAGAAGTCTCATTCATCACATCATATTTTAGATCTTGAGTCAAACAAGACCTAATCACACCACACGCCGTTCGATTCATCTTTTTCCAAACCTTCTCTTCAATCTCATCTGGCTTGCCATCTAACTCCAAGGTATCCTCCAAATTCTGCGCGTTCAGCGCATCCAAAACCTCGCATCTCCATAATCCAAAGTTGTTTGTGCCATTAAATTTCTCCACATCTATCTTCATAGAGTGGATATTCAAACTCTGAATAGTCTTCACGCCAGAAGAACCACCCTCGACTCCCGAAGCACCTTCTTTCCCCGACATCTTACGCACCAACGAACAAAGAATAGATCCAAAACTGAAAGATAGAGTCTTTACCAAAAGATCCCACCTTTATCACCAACGAAGTCCTAAACGGGCCTCCAAATTGATCTACTCCTCCAACCAAACCCTAGATCTGGAATCTGGGCTCTGATACCACTTGTTGTGCGCAGCGGAAATTTCGGCAGAGTTTCTGGTGCACAATAAGAGAGAAAGATCGATAAGAATTCTTGTTTCTCAAAGGGAACAAGAATCTGAAAGCCTAATATCCCATCAAAGTGGGATATTTGCTCTTCCTCTCGTCAGCTCTAGGACTGCGCGTCGAGGGATCCTAAAAACTATTATACCACTTGTTGTGCGCAGCGAAAATTTCGGCAGAGTTTCTGGTGCACAATAAGAGAGAAAGATCAATAATAAGAATTCCCGTCTCACCAAGGAGACAAGAATCTGAAGCGGATATCTCAACCAAGTGAGATATCGGCTCTTCCTCTCATCAGTTCTAGGACTGACCTGTCGAGGGATCCTAAAAGCTATTACAATGGCCACAAACTCAAACAATCAATTTTACGTGGTTCGGCAAACTGCCTACGTCCACGAGGCAAGGAGGGGGGAGATCTACTAATAGAGGGAGAGAATACAACTAGGGTTTACAATCACTCAATCTAAACCCTCACATAATTATCTCTCTCAAAAGCACAAAAGGACTCTTTGCACGTTGTTCTTTGCCTGCTGCCTTTGCACATGAATAAATCAGCCACCCAAAAGATCAGCCGCCCAAACAATTTTCCGTGCTCCTCTGCAGCCGCAACTTCACAAAACCAAGCACTGCCCAATTAATCCCCTCTGCCTTTTTGTCCAAAAGCCAATTGTACACGAAACCCTAGGTTCTATATTTATAGCAACCAATCGGGTCAATTGGGTGGGCCTGTACTAGAGATTCCCTTCCCTGATCTCTTCACGCATAAACGAGGTGGCCCCCACACTTAACTCCTTCTCTTCACGTGTGTTCTTTTTCACGTGGTTTGCTTGGCCAATGTTGTGGACGTGGCCCCCACCCATTCACAGGTTGACTTCCGTCTAGGTTGATCTACCTAGACGGAATTCCGTCTAGTTTGATTCGATCTAGACGGAAGCAAAATAAACCATCCAAACTAGACGGAAATTCCGTCTAGTTGAACTAATCTAGACGGAATTTGAATCAACCTAGACGGAAATTTCCGTCTAGGTTGATCATTTTTCTACTAGTGTGAATCAACAAAAACGCCCACCAATTCTATATCTGCCATAACAATGTTTTTCTCTAATAATTATAGCGGATACAGATGAGTTTATTTCGGTGGCGTAGCCAAGAATTTTATCTTGGAAACCAAAATGCGACATACAACAGAGTTTTGCTTGTAAATTGATTTCATGAAAAAAAGACATGATTTTAGGAGAAAGCTAACATTGAAGTTAGGAAAAAGACATGATTTTAGGAGAAAGCTAACATTGAAGTTAGGAAAAAATAATAAAAAATAATTCCAACCAATATAATCATTTGAGTAGGGACCACTTTTTACACTTTCCAAACAAACAATTAAAGTTTTATTTTGCAAACCAAACAAGTGTTTTATGATTCCAATGGAATCAAAAACAAGCAAAAGAAAATATAAAAGTGTAATTGATGAGGTGGACAACAACTTTTCAAGTTGTGTCATAAAAACACAACTTTAACAACAACAACCAAACAGCCCCTTATTCAAATTAGAGTACATTTTTTAATTTTTAAATTATTGGCAAATCATGCATATCAGTAATAATTGCTTAGCTCAACTATTTTTGGGGATTTATTAAGAAAGCCAATTCCATACATAGAAATATATAAATTTTCCAGCAATTACTATACATGACTATATAAGCAAATTCTAAAAGAGCAAGCCCCCCCACCCTCCACGCCAAGCTTGTATCGCAGCTCCACCATGGTTGTCTTACTGACATGTAATCGTATTTATAGGTAGTATCTGATCATTTTTTGTAGGGTGTCTACGGGCCTTTTCTGCTTGACTTGGAACCGGTATCTAGCCCGTACCCCGGCCGTGCAAAGTTAAAAACCTGGGTTGATCGGGCTCGCGAGATCGCAGGTCCGGGTGCACTGTTGGTAGAAGCCCGACCGGACGGCTGGCCCGACCCAAATCTATTAAATTTTATATTTTCATATATGAGGTTATATATAGATATGAATTAGCATACTTATATATATATTTCTAAGTGTGTATTTTTTCTGGTGAGGAAAATGGCAATAGCCTCCCTAGCCCTAAGTGTATACTAGTTGTAATAATTTTAAATACGTTATTAAATATATATATATTATATATATATATATATATATATATATATATATATATATATATATATATATATATATATATATATATATATATATAATATTTATATATATATAATTATATATAAATGTATATTTATATAATATAATAAGCATTAATCTAATTTTTGTAAAATTAAAAATTTTTAAATAAAAATCCGGCAGGCCGGAGCCCGGATATTGCACGGATTGGGCTCCTCTACTCATCAATAGTAGTTCCTAACATTTGCTAATGTATCTCCACCTTTCATTTTGTGAATAAGCCCAAAATGACCTTTCATTTTGTGAATAAGCACAAAATGAAAGATGGTCCTACAAAATAAAAGATGAAGATGCATTAGCAAATATTAGGAGCCACTATTAATGAGTAGAGGCTCCCAATCCATATTGCACACCCTAATTACATATAATGTGGAGGTAAATTGGTTATTTTAACATGCAAATCACTTGTTTACCTAAGTACGTCACTTGTGATACGGAGAGAGAAGGCTAACAATTAAGTAGCGTTGTCTTTTAGACAGCAGTTACTCCGCGAGTGAGCATACCATCCACTGGCAAGCAGCTATATTAGTTTTCCCCTGTTTAACTCCAAGTCCTCTCTCGCTCTCCCTCTCGTTCTCGCTCTCACTGTACTCAACGATTGCGAGCTGCGAGCGGGCGACTCGACAATTATCTAGAGATAGAAAGCAACCTACCGCGTCGTCGCTATGCTCTCCCTCAAAGCCGCCACTTTTCTGGTATTTAAAAATCGATCGTTGTCCTCATTATCCTTTCTAATTCGCATTAATCTATCAATTTAGTAATTAAAAAAATCAAATCTTTTTCAAAGCCAATCGGCCCCCCTTCAATAATTTCACGAAGTCTTCCTCCATTGACTTCAACATTAGCACACAGCTGAAATAAAAATGATATTTTGCTTTCCCTTTTCTCTATTTATAAGCGGTGGCCATCGCTCTGTCTCTCTTTAGAATTGCGAGGAAAAGAACGAATTCTTCTCTTTGCAGCGAAGGCGGTGGCCGGCGGCGGTGGGATCGGCGACGATTAATTGCTGTTGCGCGGCGGAGCGGCAGAGGAAGGAGGAGAGGTTGATCAGTTCGAGGGGAGTGACGATGGAGAGCATGATGAAGGAGAGGCGAGGGGATAACGCCTCGGTTCTCGATCTCGATTCCAAATCGACGGTCGGCGGCGGAGTCGAGGATGCTTATGGAGAGGATCGGGCTACTGAGGAGCAGGTTGTAACTCCGTGGACGATTTCAGTTGCTAGGTTTGGTTCCTTTGATCCTATCGATTTTGATTTTTAAATTCTTGGTATATTTAAAAGGGGAAAGCTGTGACTTCTAGTGTCAATTCTTTGTTAGATTGATTTGTAGTTGCAGGTTGTTGGAAGTTGGAATTAACGTGGAAGACTGTTTCTTCCTTTTATTTTCGAATTGAAAAAGGGTTTTCTATTGGCATATGCATCTTAACACCTTACAATTTTATAATTGGAGTAAATTTTCCGAGTGTTTTTTTATTCTAAAGATTATTTAAACATACAGGTGAGCCTGATCTCTAAAAATGGAACATTTCCTTGAATCTAGCAGATTGAGTGCTATTTTAGGGCAATTGAAAGTCTTACTTTCCCAATGATTGAGACTCTGTAGCAAAATTTTCCATTATCATTAACTAATTTGAATCTAAGTGTTACTGGTATGTGAGATTGTTTTGACAAAATCTAATTAGTGTCGTCCTTATATCGTTGCATTTAGTGGTTACTCATTGTTGAGGGATCCACACCATAACAAAGGACTTGCCTTTACTGAGAAAGAAAGAGATGCCCATTATTTGAGAGGACTCTTGCCACCCGTGTGTATCACTCAAGAGCTTCAGGTTCAAATCCTATTTCTCCTAAGAAATTGATTCCTCTAATTTTATGCTTAATAGCTTTTACTAAAACTTAAGGTTGATCTCATGTTTCCAGGAAAAGAAGATCATGAATAGTCTTCGCCAGTATCAGGTGCCCCTTCAACGATATGTGGCATTGATGGATCTTCAGGTTTGGGCTTATATAATTATGTTGTTTTGCAATATTTGGTTGGACATAAAAAGTTTGCCGATGCCTTTCCGTTAATGTTTTTCAGGAGAGAAATGAGAGACTTTTCTACAAGCTTCTAATAGATAATGTTGAAGAGTTGCTTCCAGTTGTTTACACACCTACAGTTGGCGAGGCTTGCCAGAAGTATGGTTGCATCTTTAGGCGGCCACAAGGTCTTTATATCAGCTTGAAGGAGAAGTATGTTGCAATTCCTTGTGCTTCTTGTGTATTTTGGTGATTTTTGTAACTGAAACTGAAAGGTTGCTTGACCTTGCAGGGGAAAGATTCTTGAGGTGTTGAAGAATTGGCCTGAGAGGAGCATTCAGGTTATCGTGGTTACTGATGGTGAGCGCATTTTGGGGCTTGGAGATCTCGGCTGTCAGGTGAATTTGAAGTTAGAGTTGTAATTGAAATATAGTGGACACAATCTTATCTTGGATTTTGCTGATATGATAATGCTTCTTTCCGAGACTTTGTTCAGGGTATGGGAATTCCTGTTGGCAAGCTTTCTTTGTACACAGCGCTTGGAGGGATTCGTCCATCTGCTGTAAGCATGTTAATTACCCGATCTGTTATGTTTTTTGCGTTCTAATAGCCTAAACTGTCCTTTTGCAGAGCTTTATGTTTATTTCCATAAGAAATAATACAACAGACATTTAAATTTATTTGCAGTGCTTACCCATCACAATTGATGTGGGCACGAACAATGAGCAATTGCTGAATGATGAGTTCTATATTGGGTTGCGGCAAAAGCGTGCTACTGGTCAGGTATGGGATTCTATAGGCGCTAACTAGCATGCTATGTGGAATTTACAATAAGCATTGATAAGTATTACTAAACTGTTGCCTTGTACATTTTGGAATAGGAATATGCTGAATTACTACATGAATTCATGACTGCTGTCAAACAGAACTATGGGGAGAAAGTCCTTATTCAGGTTGGCCAAATTACCAGGCAGTACCGTACTTTTACCAAATTTGGTTTTGTTTTTTTCCTTTATTTCTGCAAGTTTATTTAACTAAAATTTTATGCATGCAGTTTGAGGATTTTGCAAACCATAATGCATTTGAATTGCTTGCAAAATATAGCACAAGTTATCTTGTCTTTAATGATGATATTCAGGTAAAGCAAGCATGTGGCTTTATGTTAGCTGTGTGATAAATTGCTTCTCTCATTTTCAACTGAATAATTGTCTATTTGATTTTTAAACAAAATAACACTTATCTAATAAATGCAATCATTGCAGGGAACAGCTTCTGTTGTCCTTGCTGGGCTTGTTGCAGCACTAAAGTTGGTTGGTGGAACATTAGCGGAACACACTTTCTTGTTTCTTGGTGCTGGCGAGGTCAGCTTCTCCTTCTGCTACTTGTATAGTCTATTGTTTATTTATTTATTTTGCTGATTCTGGACTAGTTTCTTGGTGAGTTTGGTCTGGTGGGGGCGTAAAAGCAATTGAAAGAGAGAGAACGAAGCACTTGCAAATCATTCAGACAACAGTACTTAAAATTATGGAAGGTTACACATACATTTGCTTCATTGCATAGGAATGGGGGAAATTTTAAGAGAATTATAAACACTTAAATTTGCAATTAGATAAGATATCTAATCGAAGCGAGCTAGCTTTTAACATATAGGACTGGGTCTGACAGGTCAATTAGTAGTGCCCTGTGTAGGTCTTCTTCCATTCATTTGTAGTTGATCAACCTTTGACTGCTTGAGGTCCAATTTTTTTTTATAGTAGAATATAAATGTACGGTCACTATGAGAACTATTAGTTTTCTGCATCGATCATTATGGAGTTGTAGCATCAAGGGAAAGTTCTCCAGATAACCGGGGCTTTGTGGTTCGTTGAAACTTTTAGGACACTTAGGCTATCATTAGTCTATGTCACAAGGCTTAGAATTTCACTCTTGCAGGACCAGTCCCACTTGATGATTAACTGTTCTTGCATATCTCAGTTTATTGTTGTGGTATTTAGAATTTTAGATGTGCATTGGTCAATTGGTTGTACCTGTTTACTATTGCGGTCTTACGTGCATATGCATAGATGTGGTGTATGTTATCATTTTGAATGTTCTTAATCACCTGAAGTCATTCTCTATCAACTATCTGAAATTGAAGCGTTACCTAGTGTAAGTGGCTACAGCGACGTAACTGACAATAGCTTGAAAATCTTATCAGCATATTTCCATATTTCCATATTTAGCCATTTCTCTTGTTTAATAGGATAAGTTCAGGAGCAGGATCTCATGTTTTTAATGTCCTGCATTGATCAGATAGGCCTCTTTGCTCATCAGTTTCTTTTCTTTGTTCAGCTGCTCTATCAGTGGACACATCTCTAATGTACTCATAGGTTAACTATGGTGATACTATCAGGTCCTAGCCTGTCACAAAATTTCACGGGAATGAGTTTCATGTCTTCTTTGTTTTGCTGTATGATATTTTTAGAGATTCCACTGTGAGAAGAGTGCATTGTATGCTAATTTTTGGTTTTTTTTGCATGAAAAATGCAGCAATCTTAATAAAGTTGGATTTTGTAACTTCAACAAAATAGCCAAGTAAAATGGCATTATACAAAATACTCGTATAAATATGTTGGTGTACACAATGTAGCTGAGCTTGATTATCTGAACCTGTTAATGCTTGGGTAGGCCTCATTCATTTTTGAGAAATTAAAAAAATAGTTAAAATAAAGGAAATGGCAGCTGAGCTTTTTCGTCCGTCCTTCTGTCAGTTTACGTTCCTGGAGTACCCACATCTTGAAACTCTTCTTGCCTTTTTTTCTTTCAATTTCTGCGTATTGTTGCTATATCTTTTCCCCCCTAACAATTTCTCATATGGCCGTGCTTTCAGGCTGGTACTGGCATTGCAGAACTTATAGCTCTTGAAATGTCAAAACAGGTGAATTTTTAAATCCTTTTTACCACTTTCACCTCCTTTTGGACAGATCTTTGTCTGTGATAAATATGCACTAGCTTTCTAATCTATATCTATTGTGTTAAATTGATTAGCTTCCTTCCATTGTTGCAGACAAAAGCTCCAGTGACTGAGACTCGCAAGAAGATTTGGCTTGTAGATTCTAAGGTAAAAAGAAGAGCATTAAGATTGCTTCCTGAAATACATTCATGTTTTTAATGTCATATCTATTGGAATTTCTTATCATTTTTTAACGCAGGGCTTAATTGTGAACTCACGCAAGGAGTCACTACAACACTTCAAGAAACCCTGGGCGCATGATCATGAACCCGTCAAAACTCTCTTAGATGCTGTAAAGGTGCGTATCCTGTATCATCTATAATAATTGAATGAGAATACATAGCTCTTTATGGTAGTCTCTGAAACTTGCGTCCATAGGCTATCAAGCCGACGGTTTTGATAGGAACATCTGGAGTGGGGGGAACTTTCACAAAGGAGGTGGTTGAGGCCATGGCCTCTTTCAATGAGGTAGTGGAATGGTTTTCTAATTCTACAAGGTGTTTGTCATGGATTAAGAAGCAAAGTTTAGCGATAGAAACTAACATATTTATACTGTCTTAAAAAATGCAGAAGCCAATCATTCTTGCCTTATCAAATCCAACATCACAGTCTGAGTGCACTGCCGAGGAAGCATACACATGGACTAAGGTAAAGCCCTACTTTTCGTGCTATTTTTTCACATCCAGTGGTGCACTCCTGTCTTGTGTCATCAGGGCCGGGCCATTTTCGCCAGTGGGAGTCCATTTGATCCAGTTGAATACAATGGCAAAGTTTTTGTGCCAGGCCAGGTTTGAACTTTGACTTGCTTGCTTATTAAAATTTATGGTTAATGTAGGTTACTTCTTGCTAATTGACACATCCATTGATGTTGTGATTTTTGTATGTATATCAGTCAAACAATGCATACATTTTCCCCGGATTTGGTCTTGGTCTGATTATCTCAGGAGCGATACGTGTGCACGATGACATGCTTTTAGCAGCTTGTAAGTGAAAGAACTATTTTTTATACTCTGGAATATACTCAGAAATATTCACCAACTGGCCCCTTCTTTGTGCAAAGAGATTGTAACCATTGTATGAGCAGTATAGGGACCCCTGCACAGGTACTCTATAAAGCTTTGCCACTTTGGTATGACAACTCTCATATCCTAGTTGCCATTTACATAAACGCTAGCATAGTAGCACGTGCAAAAGCATGTGCTACTAACGTTAATTTTTTTATCTAAACAATCATCGGTCCTACATTTAATTATATTATTATCACTTAATATGTATTTACTTGATTTCTAGTAAAATATGCATGTGCATAATTTATGTGATCAAATTAATAAGAAAGTTCTTATCATTTAATGTTGTATCATGGGGATATATTAATTTTACATTGTAGTAACAACAAATATTCTAGATAAGAAAATTCATCCAATCTTTATAATTATATTATCATAATTATGAAAAGGATAATTTTTTTAGTTCTTAAAAATTATTTTTAAATATATATTATATACATGTTAATAAGACTCATTTAAAATATGTTAATATCTAGTTTACATTGTGTTGCATTTTCACTTTTGTCAATTAAATAATTTTTAAAAGAGTTGTGCATGAAATTTTAAATTTAAGAAATAGTGGGAGGAATGGAAATAATAGAACCTTGTAGAGGGCGAGTGAGAGAGGGTGGGGGGCATTGTTTTAAATATCTTCGACATTGCCCAATATATCCTTTTATAGGGCTTGGCACAACTGATATGGTCTCTAAATATCTTTTACCTTTTTATGGCTATTTTGGACAATATATCCCCGATATGGCTGATATATTAGCCGATATGTTGATCAATCTATCCTTTTATATAGCTTGTTGTAAAACAACATACCGCGTTTGGCAATTTTTACGTAAGATATCATGATTTTTCCATTATATCAAATGATATTTTCGCCTAAAAAAACCAAATGAAATGTTGTAATGTTGATTTGTACTTTTGTTTGTTTTACAAGGTTGAGAGTGATCCTAAACATATATTATTTACATTTTATATGCTTAGATTTTATTAAGTAAGTTGAGATTACATTTTAGTGTATTATACTATACATCCATCATGGCATTCCGACATATATCACACATCCCTGGTATTTCCCCGATATCCGCAATCCGATATGGATTTTGGCCATCCGATATTTCCCCGATACCTGCATATGGTGAGTTCTGATTGTGTACCACTATTAGCAAGTACGGTTTTGGTTCTGAAGGAAATCTCGTGCTTATTACATGCAAAATACACAGCGGAATACTGTATGTATAATTATACTAAGCATGTAGAGAGCGTGAAATACATAATAGGACCATCCTAATTAAATCTAACATGATCCCTATATTAAAGAGAGCATATAAGAGTTAGAAAGTCATACTTTCGAAACGTGATTCGATGAAAGATCGAACAACCCCTAGCTCTTGTTCCTTGTAGTTGTAACTCTCCTCGTAGTGGATCTCCAAGTCTTCAAGTGAGCTTGATAAAATCGGAGTCTTCTTGAGGCACAAGGTAAGATATCCATCCCGGGGTACTTTAAAATCTTACTACTTTCTCTTACTCAAAGATTGCTAGAGTTTTGTAAGAGGTAGAACTCTCTTCTTTATTCTCTTATGGAAAAAACCACTTAGCCAATTTTTCATTAACCTTTCCATAAGAAAGAGAGCTCATATATATAGAGTGAGATATGTGACTCATCTCATGATTCATGCCATGAGTCATCTAAATGTAATGATTCCTTTCATGAGTCATGCAATAACTCATCTCATGAGTCATGCAAAGAGTCATGAAGAATCAAAATTATGTGCTAAAATAATGTGCCCAAACCATACCACCTTAATGACTCATCTCATGACTCATTAATCAAGGTATAATGAAGTGTGTATTTTATAAATAAAAACACCACATCGATACGGTGTTTCATAAATATGATATTGCGTAATCTTTTCAATCATTAACTAATAAGTCATCATATGACCAAAAAAATCAACGAGTTGATCAAAAGTCAACTGTTGGTCAAAAAGTCAACTGTTGACCAAAAAGTCAACCAGTTGACTAAAAGTTAACTTTATGAGAAAAATATTAGAATTCATTTCTTAAGCACATAGCATTCTGATTTTACCGATACATATAATCGTTTGTGTATCCGGTAAAAATCATATATGCGTATCAATCATACACATTAACTCTATAAATTGTATTTTATAGGATTCAAGTACGCGTTTGGTGTGACTGTAGGGCCCAACTTAAGACTCGGTAGTGAATCATATCCACAAGTACAACAGAGGTGCTAGCTACACATGAAGACTACTCGGGTATAAGTTGTGATAAATATCTGCAAGATGCTAACATAATTTTATCAGTGATAATATTGTACAGTCCGGTCTCTTTGTTAAACCATGTCAAACTATCGAGCATAGGGTATGAAAAACTGTCAAACCCTAATAGCTGGATTAGTGTTTGCTGATATTAAACTCATAACCTATAAGATCAAACTGACACTCAGTTAATCTTATTTACATCGGTCAAGGATTTCCTGACTATAGTTATATCAAACAATCTTATGACATCAACCCCTTATACTGGGAGAGACGAATCTTATCTTGGCATCTCAATATCTAATTATGTCTCGGGATGCACCCAACAAGAACCGTTATGCATAACTCAATGAGAACTGTGGTTAGGTAAAAGTCTAAGTATATCTATACTGACATGTAAGATATTGCACTCATGCCTCAGGTCAAGAGACTACTATGTATTATATCACTTGAGAACTTCTATTTGACAGTTAAGTATAATTACTAACTAGATGTTCTCAGTGAGTCGTTCAGTCAACTCATTCACTAATGAGTCACCTTTATACTATATCTTGATGTCTCACATCAATGATCCAAGAGATGGATCATCATCCTACCAAAAGAGAAATAGAGTATACACTAGTCTTCCCAAAGTGATGATGTCTCATTTTAATACTTCATCGACTAGGAACATTTTAGAATATACGTTAGCGACAAATCAGATCTCTTTATTATGATCATATCCGAAAAGTCTGATAGTCTAGTATCATTCTAAGGACTTTATCTGTATGAAAATACCAGATAAATCTGACCAAAATAGCATACTATAATTTTGAATAAGGATATTATATTCATATAGGTCCTGTTACAATATACAATTATTGCTTGCAGGACACCTATATCTAACAGGTTCTTGGTCTCTGTGGTTCTCTAGCCCTAGCCAACAGCTAACTTAGAGAGGACCAAAACTAAGCTTGTGTATACTATGTATAGACCTATTGTCCCCGGCCCTCTGAAGAATACTTGAGTAGCGGTCTCCACGTTGAGCCAATCAGACCGAAGGCATAGTGTTCAGGTCGAAATTTTTCTGCGACAAACCTTAGGAGATTGCGGCTCATGTCTTAGAAAATCAACATGCGAGACATGTCCCAGGAAAAACTTTTAAGTGTTATGACTATTAACCACTAGCTTAAGATTTGTACTCACATGTCAATCCGCCTACCGCCCCATAGAAGTTTCGATGGAGCGCTCTAGAGGCTGTTTTTCCGGTCTAATAGGCATCTGGCATGATTACTTCATTTAATTTCATCCATCTTCCTTCATATTCTCAAAATCTGTATTTTCACTCTCATTTACAGTTAGAATCTTTTCTGGTCCTCTATCGGATTCTTCTCCGAGTTTGTACACATCTGGCATGACTATGCAATTATAGTTTCATCCTTTTTTCCTTCATATTATGATAATCTGTATTTTCTGTATTTTCACTCTCGTTTATAGTTACAACCTTTGTCATCAACCTATATTAACAGCGCATATCCTTTGTTGGAACAGCCGAAGCTTTGGCCTCACAGGTCACAGAGGAGAATTTCAAGAATCGGCTGATATATCCACCCTTCACCAATATCAGAAAGATTTCAGCCCAGATAGCTGCTAAAGTAGCTGCCAAGGCATATGAGCTCGGTGAGCTTATCTATCTGCCCATCGTTTCTTTCTTTCTTTCTTTCCGTTAATCTCTTTGGTATGGAAGTTTGCCGATGTAGAAATTGATTCATCTGGTATGAATAGGTGTTGCTACTCGTCTCCCTCGTCCAGAAAACCTCGTGAAATATGCAGAGAGCTGCATGTACACTCCAGTATACCGCACTTACAGGTAAGTTACACAAGGGAGGAGCATCCACGACCCTGCTGTAGCATGATTACAAATATTGTGGTCTGTAGCTCTAGAGTTCACGTACAAGTTTAAGTTTGTTTACTTTGTCATATTAAACTTTTCCCCTCTTTCCAAAAATAAGCAGTATGTGCCTTGGATATGTTTGCTTGTACATCAATGTGATCTTGTATTATATTGTTGGAGCATTTATTTTTGAACTCAAATTTATGTGAGCAAATACGGAGAAAAGCATCAGGTGTGTTTTCAATTGATTTCTTAGGTTTCTAAAATCAAAGTTTAGTAGATGAGACTTCTGACTTACCTGTTAACTGGCTCTCATGTGTGGCTCGTGAGGTTGTTGACTTCAGAAAACCCTTCAACAACTGGGTCTCAGAAAATCCTCCTCAACTAATTTAATTGGAAAAAATGTGTCAAGACCCTAAAAACAAAAACCTCTTGTGGCTCAGCCCCTTGAAATTTTTCTTATGTGATGTAACCCCAAAAGACCCAACAAATTGTGTTCCAGCCCCTTTTCATGCTCTCTCAAAAAGTGACCCAAAAAAGTTTTGAAAATACCTCATGTTCTTCTTTTTCTCCGTGTCTTTCTCCCCCTCCTCTCCTCTAACTGCTCCTTTCACCTCTTCTTCTCTCCTCCTCTCCTCCTCTCTTCCCTAACCCTACTTTCCTCCTCTTACTCCTCTTGCCCTCGACCCCGTCGTCTCCCTCTCCCGCCTCCCCCCTTTTCCCACTGAGCCCATCATCTCAGGCAAGCATTGAGAAGACTTAAGAGAATCAGGAGAGGCAGTTGGCAAGATGCTTATAAAGAGAGATGTGAATTGCTATGCTCTATCTCAATGGGATAAGCTTCAGTCAATGTGGATCTCCTACGACGAGCTCTAGTTGATAATTTAAATTCTATTGTGTGTCAATGTGCTTGATAGATACTCTATCTCAATGGGATAAGCTTCGGTCAATTGAACTACATCTGATTGTTGATTAGACCGCCATTAGAATGTGTATCTCGTTAGAATGGTTTTGACTTTCGAGTTCTGCATTGTAGGTGTTTGTGTGATTACAGCTTGATGCACGCCAGAATACATTTGTGTCATGGAGCTTTATACGAGTTTATTGCACATGTTGGTTTTGCTAACTAGCTGTCTAACTTCATGCAATGTGATCCTCTGTTTATTGGAATATCTCATAGGGACCTGAATGTTAGACCAATAGCTTACTATATCAGCTGGGAAATTAAATTGTGAATATAAGACTAATCAAACTGTGAAATGCTTGCTATATCAGCTGTAAGAATATAAGATTAATTAATATAAAGTACATGTTTAACGTACGTTGGCTATTCATTTTTCATGTTAACTATCTTCGTTTTCTGTTAATTTTTACCTGAAACTGTTAACTTTTGAGTTTTCCTGGTAACTTTCACTGGAAGTTGTTAACTATCTCAGTTTGATGTTTAACTTTTATCTGAAACTGTTGACTTTTGAGTTTTCTTGTTAACTTTTATTGGAAGTTGTTAACTATCTCCGTTTTCTGTTAGCAAAAAAGAATGTAATTGATGATTAGTGTGGACTGCTATGCAGAACAATACTTTTGATAGAGCAATATAGGTTTTCAAGACTTTTATAACACATTGTGGAAGAATTTTGTAGGCTTTAAGAATTTAAGGCTAATCAAACTGTGAAATACTTGTTATATTAGCTAAAATAATGTAACTAATCATCGTAAAGTATATATTTACCGTATGTTGGCTATTTTTTCCATGTTAACTATCTCACTCTGCTGTTAACTTTTATCTAAAACTGCTAACTTTTGGGTTTTCCTGTTAACTTTCACTGAAAGTTGTTAACTCTGGGTGTTACCTGTTAGGTATAACTGATATCAGCAATAAACGTACCAAACTGATAGTAGAAAAGAATTTCATTGTTGATTAGTATGAATTGCTTTGCAAAACTATACTTTTGATAGAACAATATAGATTTTTAAGACTTTTGTAGGACATTATGGAAGAATTTTGAGGCTTTAAGAATGTAAGACTAATCAAATTGTGGAATATTTGCTATATTAGCTGTAAGAATATAAGACTAATCAATATAAAGTCTTACATTCTTACAGCTGATATAGCTAGTATTTCACAATTTGATTAGTGTTAAATTCTTAAAGCCTACAAAATTATTCCACAATGTGTTAAAAAAGTATTGAAAACTAATATCGCTCTATGAAAAGTATAGTTCTGCATAGCATTCCACACCAATCACCAATTACATTCTTTTTGCTATCGGTTTGATACATTTATTGTTAGTACCTTTTATACTTAACAGATATAACCCATATTTAACTACTTCCAATAAAAGTTAATAGAAAAACTCAAAAGCTAACAGTTGCGGCTAAAAGTAAATAGAAAAAGGAGCTAGTTAACAACATTCAGTGAAAATTAACAGGAAAACCCAAAAATTAACAATTTTAGGTATAAGTTAACAACAAATGGAGATAGTTAACATGAAAAAGGAATAACCAACATACAATAAACATGTATTTTATAGTTTCAGCTGATTGAAGATTACCAGAGCGTGTCTATTTCTATGACAAAAGCCCATCAAGTAATACTCGAACAATCTACTTCAGATTACATAGATAAAATATTCTTGAATACAACATGCGCAGCTCACATTCTCTCACAATGTTCTACCTTACATAATTTATATATTTCTCTGCCATAATCAAAAATTTTGAACTAATGCCTTGTTTCTCTTCTGCATACTTCCTACTCTACTGAAGATTTTACAAAGTTCATACAAATGGGGGATTAACTTAAGCCAGAGCGAGCAAAGAAGATGGCAAGATCCAAAGTCTATCTTCACATATCAAACCTAAACAACTATAGGTATCAGCAAACTCACCTTCTTGCTATTAATCTTGTGCCATCCAAACACAATCAAACTCCCTACATAACATATCAATCGTAAAGCTCGGCCCCTCCTTCCTTCTCTCCTACTCCTTCTCCATGCTCATCTCCATCCATCTCACTAACCGCCTCTCCTTCTTCTCTAAGCCTTCTCAACACTTACCTAAGATGATGTGGTTGGAGGCTCGGTGGTGGCGAATGGGGAGGCGGGAGAGGGAGACGACGGGGTCGAGGGCAAGAGGAGTAAGAATAGGGTTAGGGGAGAGGAGGAGGAGAGAAGAAAAGGTGAAATGGGCAGTTAGAGCAGAGGAGGAGGAGAAAGCCATAGAGAAGAAGAAGAAAAACAAGGGGTATTTTCAGAACTTTTTTGGGTCATTTTTTGGGAGAGTGTGAAAATGGGCTAGAACACAATTTGTTGGGTCTTTTGGGGTTAAAGCATACGAGAAAAACTTTAAGGGGTTGGGCCACAAGAGATTTTTGTTTTTGGGGCGTTGACACATTTTTTCCAATTTAATTTGGACAAATCCTTTCAAGTTTGAGGGTGTTGAAGATAACCCCCTCAACTTTGAAAACATGAAATGATTCTTTATATCTTTTCAAGGAAAAACTCATTTCAGATGAACAGAAACTTTTTAAACGTTTAAAAAAAATTTCTGGGCTATTTACGGTAGTATTGAACAATAAGCGGATCTTATACGACCTGACTCGAATGCAAAACCATCTTCTATTTTTCTCGTGTGATAGTAATAAAAAAAACCATCTAGAAATATCAAGGATTATTTAGATGACTGCCCCTTACATCTTTGATAATTGCATATTAGTCCCTCATACTTCAAATTTGCATATTAGTCCCTTAAACCCTATGGGGTCTTGCAAAATGGCCGCTCTGTTGGTTTTTCAGTTAAAAACCCTCTAATTAAGGTTGAGTTAACTCCCAACCCAATATCTACAATCACCAAACCACCCTTCTCTCTAATGTTTCAAACATTTGTGAAGCCTAACTTTGGATTAGGTTTCTTTTCTAAGACCATCTCCAGCAGGTAGGCAAATTTTCACCCCTTCTCTCCTGCAACATCACTTTATTCCCCCACCACATAATTCAATAACACACATTTCCCTATCAACTCTGCATCAGCTAGTTTTTCAAAAACCTTTTCACTTTATTTGGGACCCACCATACCCACATCACACCAACATATACCCCACCATATTATACGGGTATTGCATGCCCATATTTGGAGGCATCATATACGGCATCTGAAAATTTGTCGGCATCCCCGTATTCTGAGTATTTTCTGGGCGTTGCATATTAGGATTTTGAGGAAAAGGAAAATTGTAACCTGGGGGCAAATTGTAATTTTGTGAAGGATCCATGAAGGTTGCAAAAAAGGCTTGACAATGGAAGAAGAAAGTAGAGAGAAATGCAAAAAGGAAGAAATAAAGGGTGTAAAATCTTAAAATTTTTTTGGTGTCCAAATGACACAAATTTAGGCTCTATTTATAGACCTTGAAAAATTAGAAATAATGGTATAAAAAAATTTATTTCGAATTATTTATGCTCCAAATCTACAATTTAAATATTAGGTGAAAACAAAAAAGAGTTGGTCCAATGGGAAGAGGGCACGTTTCCATGTGCATGGCTGGTAAAAAATCATGGGGTTGGTGGGGGCTGATGGGGCTGCGTGCTCCTCTCCCATTGGACCACTCTTCATTAATTTTTTTTTCTTTTTCTTATATAGGAGGCGGGGCTGCGTGCTCCTCTCCCATTGGACCACTCTTCATTAATTTTTTTTTCTTTTTCTTATATAGGAGGCGGGCCCCACATAAAGTGTATTTCATGTAATTTCACGGAAGGGAAATATTTCATCCCTTGGAAAGCTTTTGAAATTTCCCTTCCTATTTCCCTAGCTGCTGTATGGAAAAACCACCCTTTTCCCCTCCTATTGCACTTGGTCTAACTATTGGAGAAGAAGAACCTAATTGGGTTTGGTTTTATTTAAGGGGGTATTGAGTTTAAACTCATTAAGAAATGAGTTTGATAATATAATAGAGGGGGTAAACTAGTTACTTTACCTCGATTTGATAGAATATTCTCCTCAAATCTAACATGTGTTAACTAGTGGACCATTTTGCAAAACCCTATGGGGGGTTAGTCACCTAGAACTTAAAATTTGAACTGGGATAATCAGTGGGATAAAATTTTAAGGTGTTAGTCACATAGAATTAAATCTAGAACAAAATTTTAAGGTGTTAGTCACATAGAACTAAAACTAGAATAAAATTTTACAGTGTTAGTCAAGCAGAACTTTAACAAAACTAGAATTGGGATAATTGTACAAAATTATCCCACTTTTTTTATTTTTCTATACAAAAATGAGAGTTCTAGTCTCTCAAATTATTCCAAGTTTTAGCTTGGAACTATGTGGTAAAAAACTAGAACTCGTATTTATTTTATTATTTTATTATTTTTTTATTTACTTATTTCCTATTATGCTTATCACCATCATTAGACCATCATCATAATAATAATTGTTAATATCTTATAGTCTAACCAAAAGTTATTTAATAGTAACGAACATTCTTGTAAGCAATTATCAATTAATAGTTGTAAGTTTAAAATACATAAATAGTATTTATATCTTCAAAATGCATAAATATATACTTCATGATTATAAAAATTTATCCCACGTTATTTTATTAAAATATCCCGCTTCACAAAATTGTTCCTAGTTATCCCACTAAAATATCCCACTAGCGAAATATTATTCCACTTTAACAATTATCCCATTTTGCATGAAAATGTCCCAATTGACTAACACCCCCTATGGGATTTGAGAGAATATGCAATTTCCAAGTATTAAGGGGTTAATATACAATTCTTGAAGATTTAAGCGCCTGATATCTAAAAAAAACCCTAATATCAAAACCCACGGACAAATTTTTAAAATCAACTCTTTTAAATATTTATTTACAATTTTCGACTGACTCCTAACTTAATTAAGTAATTTCAACTAGTTTTATGAAACTTAGGTCGGAATTGTTAATTAAAACTTCACGGGATTGTCAATCCTACGAAGTTTTATTCTCCAATTTCGACATAGTTTCATGAAACTAGATCGAAAATACTAGTTAAATTAGGACTAGATCAATAATTATAAAGGAGAAATTTTGAAAATATCCGATTTACAAAAAAAATCCCAAAAAACGACATCTTTTAAAAATAATTGTCAAAACCGACATAGTTTCAACTGTCGCACCGAAACTGGATCGTTTTTGACGAAAAAAAACTATGAAACTTCACGGGACTTCAAGTCCCGTGAAGTTTAGCGTCGTCTAATGTTAATAGATTAACGTCATTATAGGCTGCTAAACTAGATCATTTTTAGAAGATGTCGTTTTTTACGATTTTTTTTTAATCGGATGATTTTCAAAATTTGTCCAATTATAAATAAATATTTAATTTCAAAATTGGTCCCCACAATATTTTTACAAGAGCCCATCAGGCGGCAGGGTTGAGTTCTCCGATTGTTTGCTCGCTCCTAATGGTGTGTTTGGGAGTTTACTCTAGAACTTAAAACTGGAACTGGGATAATTTGTGGGATAAAATTTTAAGGTGTTAGTCACATAGAACTAGGAAATGAGATATTTTTTTATAGTGTTAGTCAAGTAGAACTTTTGTAGAACTAGAACTGTATTATTTTTTTGGTGCGTTAGTCAAGTAGAATTCTACTAGAATTAGAATTGGGATAATTGGTCATAATTATCCCACAAATTATACTACCTATATATATAACCATAAGTTATCCTCTCTCAAATTATCCCACACATTGGAAAGAATACAATTGGGAGAAAAAAGTGAAACCCGCCTCCCTCCCTCTTGGTTAATTTCTCCGTCTAGAAAAATTCTCTGCCATGAAGTCAATCATCCGTTCATTTTTCTGTCTTTACTTTGTTTTTGTGATGATTAGATCTTTTATTATTATCTTCAAGATGTATTACTTTATTGATAGCTTTTTGACGTTTAAATTACTTTATTATTATTTGTTTGATCTAAGTTTTCTCTCCACAACAGTGGTTTAGGTTAAGAATATAGTGTTGGTGGGTTAGTGCTAAAGATATGCGGGCTATTTATGTTTTTTTATAAGTTAGAAAGCAATTTTGCGATCACATTGATGATTAGATGTTGAATGGTTAATGGTGATATCTATTATTATTAAATCGGCTCAGTAAATTGATTGGGATATTTATAGTTCATCTGTCGATCATCTGTTTAGCGGCCATGGATGATTCCTGTGTACATTTCATTTATTTGCTGATTTGGTTTCAGCGATCATGATGAGATTGGTCCAAAGGGTTAATGGCTGAAAAATACTTATTTTTTCTTCTTTACGATGTTATGAGATTTGAACTTCGACATTTATGATCCTCCACTAGAAGCTCCACGAAATGTTGCTGATGCAGACGATGACTCCGATAAAGAAGACGAGTTACAGACTCAACGAGCAGCTGTAGGAGCTTGGAGAAATTCTATGGCAGATGCCATGTGGGATGATAGAAGCCATGTGGGATGATGGAAGTCGAGTCACTCTAGGGATTTAGATTTTTATTTATTTGTAAATTATTTTATTATTTGAGATGAATAGTGATGCTTTATTGCATTATATTTTATAGTTATTACTAAAATTTGCTTATCAATATTATATTATTTTTAATATACAATTATTAACAATAGTAATTTATACCCACCATTACCCCCACCAAATTATGCAACTTCATAATATTATCCATCATTATCCAACTAAATTATCCTACCAAATTATCCCACTTTAAGAATTACCCATCATTGTTCCACTAAATTATCCCAGTGTTAAAATATTATCCCACTTTACCAATTATCCCAGTTCTACTTAAAAAGTTCTAGGTGACTAACCCCCCTTAGGGGGGGTTAGTCATCTAGAACTTAAAACTGGAACTGGGATAATTTATGGGATAAATTTTTAAGGTGTTAGTCACATAGAACTAGGAAACGAGATATTTTTTTATAGTGTTAGTCAAGTAGAACTTTTGTAGAACTAGAACTGTATTATTTTTTTGGTGCGTTAGTCAAATAGAATTCTACTAGAATTAGAATTGGGATAATTGGTCATAATTATCCCACAAATTATACTACCTATATATATAACCATAAGTTCTCCTCTCTCAAATTATCCCACACATTAAAAAGAATACAATTGGGAAAAAAAAGTGAAACGCCGCCTCCCTCCCTCTTGGTTAGTTTCTCCGCCTAGAAAATTTCTCTGCCATGAAGTCAATCATCCATTCTTTTTTCTGTCGTTACTTTGTTTTTATGATGATTAGATCTTTTATTATTATCTTCAAGATGTATTACTTTATTGATAACTTTTTGACGTTAAATTACTTTATTATTATTTGTTTGATCTAAGTTTTCTCTCCACAACAGTGATTTAGGTTAAGAATATAGTGTTGGTGGGTTAGTGCTAAAGATATACGGGCTATTTATGTTTTTTTATAAGTTAGAAAGCAACTTTGCGATCACATTGATGATTAGATGTTGAATGGTTAATGGTGATATCTATTATCTATTATTATTAAATCGGCTCAGTAAATTGATTAGGGATTTAGATTTTTATTTATTTGTAAATTATTTTATTATTTGAGATGAATAGTGATGCTTTATTGCATTATATTTTATAGTTATTACTAGAATTTGCTTATCAATATTATATTATTTTTAATATACAATTATTAATAATAGTAATTTATACCCACTATTACCCCCACTAAATTATCCTACCAAATTATGCAACTTCATAATATTATCCATCATTATCCCACCAAATTATTCTACAAAATTATCACACTTTAAGAATTACCCATCATTGTTCCACTAAATTATCCCAGTGTCAATATATTATCACACTTTACCAATTATCCCAGTTCTACTTAAAAAGTTCTAGGTGACTAACCCCCCCTTAGGGAAGGGAAGGGAAGGGGAAGGAAGAGGAATTTTTCCCCTTCCTTCCCTTCCCCTCCATTACACCCCAATTTGCGATGTAAGAATTTGGGCCAAATTTCCCCTCCATTCCCCTTCTCTACCCTCCAAAATAAAACTCCCAAACAAGGTTAAAATGAAATTTCCCTTCCCTTCCCCCTCTCTACCCTCCATCCAATCAGGCCATTACTTTCTCTCCATTTCTCTTTTGGATCTGCTTTGCTCTGATCTCAAGAGGAGATAATCATGCCGTCGGAAAAGAGCAGCGTATCCATCGCAACCAGAAAGTTCGTAATTTCTCATAAACCTCAACTCGCTTTCTCTAAACCCTAATTCTCTGATCGGTGTCTTTCTCTGTTGTTACGGCGTCGACGTGGCGCATCCTGGAAAGGCGAATGTCTCCAAGTTTCGATTTTGTTTTTTAATCAGTTTTATGGCATATCTAATTGATTCCGCGTTTCTTTTTGATCTTTTATGTGTTGATTTGGTTGTAGGCTGAGTTGAAGCAGCAGCCAGCGAAAGTGAAGGATCTAAAATCGTTCTTCGTGTTCAAGTTCAGGACGGCGTTTGGCGGAGGGAAGTCCACCGGATTTGGTCTTATTTATGATTCCGTCAGAGAGCGCGAAGAAGAATGCGCCCAAGTATCGGCTCATCAGGGTACATTTTTTTTTTTTTTTTGCCCCACCTTCAGCTTTTGATAAGTTACTACCTTTCTATTTGCATTTGCATTTTTATTTAGATGGATTTGTTTACCGCCTTGCTTAACATGACATGTAAGTCATTAGTTTGTAAATTACTGCAAAATTAGAAGATATATTCCTGTAATAAGAAGTGATTCACTTCTCTGATTATAACTTTGGGACCGTATATCCACCGTAGCAAATTTCAAATCTAACATTTAGGGTAATCTTTATAGTAGTTCTTTTACCCCTTTTTTCGGAATATGACATTCAAAATGTACATTGTGCATAATTATCAACTTGCAAAGGAAATGTTCGCTTGTGGTTAGGACATCTTTGGTCTATAGGCTATTAGGATAGATATAATGGGATAAATATATTGGATAATAGGGAGTTCATCTATATGTGGGTGTAGTAACTATTTATGCTTGTAATCTCCTAGATTTTAGGGGGAAGTATTACCGTCAGTAAAATATAACTGTTAGCGGGTCAACTATATCAAAGTCAAACAGTGAAGTATGATAAAATCATTCATATGGAGCGAGTGGGAAACTAAAGCTTTCAGGAGATCTGGAAGAATTCAGTAGTTAGCTAAAACTAAAATTTTATCGTGAATTCGTGATGTTGAATAGATATAATGATATATCTTTCTAGCTAAAAAATTTTCTTGTCTACATCTTATAAAGTAGTAAAAATGTAAAACAGGAAGATATGAACGAAGTTGAACTTTAACTTTAATGAAACTAGAAGCAAGAGGTAGGTGCTAAATGTTTTTTGCAACATGTTACAATGTCAGTGACCTCAATCCTAATTCTGAAAAAGGGGACACTAAATTAAGGTCTTAAGAGTGGAAAAACAGCCAGGCCTGGCACCCAAGCTTATATAACACCTTGTGTATAATTCTTCTTAAATGCTGATACTGTTAAAAGTATTATCAAAATGTATGTTCATAACTCACATCTTGTTCAAAATTACGCTTTGCTCTTGTGTAATCCATTCCTCATTTTTCCGTATGTAAAATACCTTAACTGAACGATATATGAATATTGTATGTTATTACTTAATTATAACTAGTTCTGTGAAATGTAAATTTCTTCCTTGAGAGTTTTTTTTGTCAATGTAAATTTCTTCCTTGAGAGTTTTTTTTGTCATTGTTTGTTCCAATATAAATATTATTTTTTTAAGGTGAAAGTACTTTTCAGATATATACCCTGCAACTTTCATATTGAGATATATCACTGAAATCATCATATTTAGAAAATTGGCTCCCCCGAATAATAGGAGTCTTAGAAATATTCCCCTGATTTTTCTTTGAGAATAAATAGATAAATGGCTAATATTCATTTGTTTTTCCAAAATGGTAGAATATTTTCAGAAGGATGATGAAGAGATGATTTTAGATGGGTGAGGTAGAAGTAGGGGTATTTGCACCTTACACTGCCTGAACAATTTACGGGATAGTCATATTTTTTAGACCTCTTATGATTGGGGCCCATTTTTTTAATATGGAAGATTTGAGGGGAATATATGTCTGAAATAACTCACGATTATCAGCTCATAATATTTAAATTACTTCGTATATTGCATAAAATGAACTGCTAAAGGTTTTGTTAGCGACTACAAATGTCAAATGATGAATATATATTTTGTGAACTCTATATACAGCATACAACATTGTTTTAAGGGGGCCATTTAAATTTAGTTTGGTGTTATTTTCTTTCTGAAACTAATGGCTTCTTGTTCACCAAATCTGTTAGTTATGCTCTCCTGGTTGTTACTGTGTCATGGTTTTGCCTTGGTATCTGGTAATATTTTGCATATATATTCTAGATTCAGTTAATAGGCATTGATGGTTGTGAGTCCGTCTAACCGTTAGGATGCTTTTGACCTGATTACACTGATTTCAGCTGTCCAGACATTTGTTTTCTAACCAATGTCGGAATTAAGTGAATTCATGTCTCGGGAACCTCAAGCTCAATTTTGGCAACTGATATTGGAGGGTGTTTTTTGTTGGTCAAGTCGGCCCAAGTTCAACAACATTGGTTCTGATGTGATTAAGTGCTGACCCTTATTCTAAAGCCACAGGTGGTTGGTTGGAAATGGATCCAAAATTATGCAAAAACTTTAATTACGTCGGCATGTAAATTGACTGGTTTGGACCTATGATGATAAAATCTTATTAGATATGTACAAATAAAATTTGGTTTTGAACTGCTGGTTTGGAATCTGTAAAGCATATTATTGTAGCCCTGGCGCAAAACTGAATTTAACAAGGCCCCTCCAAACCTTTATTGAGTATTGAATTAATCCAATCCAAAATTATCGAAAACAGAAGCAAAGCAAAGTGGGACTTTAGGTGTTTCACTGCCCAAAAGTCTTCGGTCCTGTTTCAGAAATAAACACATAAACAACAAGAATTGGGTGGATGGGTGTCATTGGAAAGGATGGATGGGCAGGGTAACAAATTCAACATCTGAATCTTCTCATTTTGTATATTAACATGTTGGGAGCATTAGTATAATATATTTTGCAATAAAATTTCTGGATATTATTTTTTATGTTTATGTAAATCTTTTCATTTTGTATATTAACATGTTGGGGACATTAATATAGCTTATTTTGGAAAGGAATTTCTGGACATTATTTTTTATGTTTAAAATATGTGTTGAACAATTTGTAATTTTTCTAATGGACTGCTACATGTTCGTATTTTGTTAGAATGGCCTGGCCACTATGGTTGAGAAATCAAGGAAGTAGATGAAAGAAAGGAAGAACAGAGCAAAGAAAATCCGCGGAGTTAAGAAGGCGAGTCTCTGCTTTTCTTTTTAATTATCGTCTTTTCTGCTCGAGCTGTCTCAATCCCATTCTATGATCTGGTTGTTGGGAAGAAACCCCTATGCCGAGATCTAACCAAATAGCCGAGAGAGATAAACCACACAACCAAAAGATAGCACAAACAATTAAACACCAGATTTTACGTGGTTCGGCAAGATGCCTACGTCCACGGGGCAAGGAGGGGGGAGTTTTCACTATTAGAAATCAAGGGGATACAACTAGGGTTACAAATCTCTCATAAACCCTCAACAAATCAACTCTTGATCTCACCAATTGCTCCTAGAATAGAAGTCCAAAGAAAACCCTCTCAATCTGCTCAAAACCCTTTGCTTACAAACCCTAGAATCAAGTTTGGGTATTTATAGAAAACCCAAACGAAACGGGTCTGGAAAACAGACCCAACCCAAAACCGCTACGGCGGTCGACCGCGATGGATCGCGGTCGACTGCCACGGTCGACCG